TGGAATTGGTTAGAATTCAGGATGTGCAATCCAGGGCTGGGAAGAGAGAGCACATTAACACATATAATAAAAGGAAAATAAGGGAAGATGTTTGCTATTTAACAAAAAAGAAATCTGAGTTGGACATCAATTTATAAAATGTGTTAATATATTTGTTATAATATAGTTTTGGACTACACTACTTTTTTCTGTTGTTAAATCTGCTAAGATTAATTGCCAAAGACCCACTATTTGACAGTGTTAGGTTTTTGGAAGCCGTTATAAGCATGAGTACTGAGCATGGCAATGTAAGAAAAACATGCTCCAACACATCTTTATGTCATTAAGAATTTGGAAAACTTATTTTATTATCCAAAATGAGATCTTGCTGTTGAATAATTTGGTAGTAATCTGACATTTAACAAACAAAACACTGCTAATAATTAGATTCAATGGCATTATTATTATTATTATTATTATTGGGATGAAGTGAACACACCCTGCAAGGGGTTATGAAATCTTCTCTTTTCCCATTTTGCCATTTTCAACCAAGCATTATTCTATTAAGTGCTAATTTTCTATACTTGTTTCTGAAAGGAATTAAAATCTATCCATAGCATAAATATGCTAAAAAAGCAAGTGAAATATTACCAAATTATGTAGACCAATTAGTGCAACTTTAGCATGTTTCTCAAAGAACTGACTTTGATCCTTTACTCTTTAATCAATTTAGTCTTTTAATGACTTCAGTGAAGTACCCATACTCAAGAGGAGGTACAGTATTTTGGTGACCTGAAGAAATATCCATAGGCATTTGAAATATTGAGTGGCTTAATAGCATGGAGTTTTTCACTGTTACCCAAGTGGTGTTATTCATGTTGAGACAAATGACTGCCTAGTCACTGGCCTTGAAAATATCATAATTTTTATACAAAACACCATGGAAGTAAAATGGACAGTATGACCAAATAAGTGTTCGCCTCAACTCCACGTTTTTGTCGGCTGTTAAGTAAAGTTTTTAATTGTGACTGACCTTTTTGAAAGACAGGTTCCTATACTTTATGAAACCACACAGAAAATGTTGCATATATTCAATTAATTCTAATGTTCAATATCCTTGATCTACAACCACCCTCAACAATTTTGGACTTTGCCTTGGCTTTGCATGCTGTCACTAAGTCACATTACACAAGTTAAAAACATTCCCTTTCCTTTTGGCTGTGATACTTGTGCCATTTAAATTGTTTGGATGTTTATGTTTCTGTCAGAGTTCGAAGGGGTGTTTCTTTTTTAATGCAATTAAGGAGCTTTCTAATTTCACCCAAGTCGCTATTATTATTCCCAAAGGCACAGTTTTACTTAAGTGAAGCAGTTTTGTGTTACAAGAAGAAAAGCAGCATAAATACCAAGTCATGTTAAATGGTTTGGATACCAATTGATATCTTTTTTGATAAAATAACAAGGGCCTGTGATATCAGGTAGTGAAAGAGAAACACTTTCTCTTGTTCAAAAATGTATTGCTATTCCTCGTACAGTACATTTTAATAACAAAATATTGCATCAACTTTTTTCTAGTATATTATTAATCCAATAACTTCATCGAGGACTCAGGTGGGGCTTGGTGAATCAATGTTTATAACATGCCTTGGAGCCTTGTTCAATAAATAAACAACTTTCTGTAAACAGTACAATCTTTTGGAAGCTGTGTGGACATTAAAGGACATTAACAGCAAAGACATTAATGCTGATGTCAAGGTCAAAACTGAAAACAGGCTTTAAGGAGGAGCTGGCTGAGTAAAAGAGCTTGTAATTAGAAATTCCTAATTGATGCCCTGACTCAGCCATTGACTCACTGAGTATCTGTTATGCTCAGCGAGTTAATTAAAACCTTTGTGTTCTGTCCACACACAGTAGAGCACCTGCTGTAAGCAACTTTAAAGTAGCAATTGTGTATTCAGAGTTACCTTCATAGTTACTTGGAAACTTTTGAGGATAAAATCTTCTTCTGTGTGACTGATTCACAGCATGAAAATTATAGTTGACCGATTGAGTAAGCATATTATTTCAGGACTTTGCAGGACTTGAAAACAGCAGGGAAAATTAAGGTTTAGAAATGGTTTACAAAGACCAGAAACTAATAAAAACCTTCATGTCTCTCATGTCTGGTTTGGACATCAGGTTTATACTGAACATTTGTGACATACTGTACTGTGGCTAACAATATGTGTCCACCGTAGCAGATGTCCTGTTTACAGAGATTTACTGTACGTGAAGTGCTTTTCTTTTTGCTTAAAGTTTCCAAATACAGTACGGTACAGCTTAGTAAAAAGCTTCTACTTTCTTTCTAGTAAAGCTTCTACCAAACATATTACAGGGTCCAAATGGTTTCTTCTCATTTGGAACCTCCTTTTGTATGTGCTCATGTTCTTATGTGCTAAGGTTTAGAGGCTTAACAGTCTGGATCATGATTTCTATGGCAACATGGGAGCACATGAATCTTCAGAGATGGGACACCGGTCTATTTGGGCACCCATCCATACCTGCATTTGTACAGCTGTGTGCAATGGAAAAAGACTACCTGGTGTGGGGCAGAATCCTGCTCAAGAGCGAAAAAAAGCTGTGTCTATGACCAGGGTTTGTACTGGTTAATTTCCAGTTATGAGTCCAGGGCAGTGATGCCCCATACAGTATGTAACAGCTTACAAGATTACAAATATCTCTCTGGCAATGGTTTCCACATAACAATGCAACATTATTTATTTGTATATTAAACAACATTTTAGGTGAAGCTGGGGTGAAAGTTATGAGAGGTCCATTTCTTAAATTATTTGTATGTCTTTCATTAACAGTTGGTTATGTTGAGTTCACTGTGGGAGAAACTACATGTAATTCTAAACCCTTTATGTTTTGTTTCACGGTTTGGGTACACTGCACACAAATGCTGGGTGTCAGATTGACAAATGAAATCTCACAAATGTAAGCATTGAAATATAGAGAACATTCTATATTTTTAGTAAATTGTTCAACGTTTATCAGTATTTTATTATCCTCAAATCACCTTCAAAGACCCATCCATCCATTTTCTAACTGCTTCATCATGTTCGGGGTCATAGGGAGTCCAGAGTCTATCCTGGCAAGCAATGGGCACAAGGCAGGATACACCCTGGACAGGGTGCCAATCCATCTCAGGGCAGACACAGACACAAGCACACATTCACACCAGGGCCAGTTTTCCCAGAAGTCAATTAGCATACCAGTATGTCTTTGGATTGCAGAAAGAAACCGGAGCACCTGGAGGAAATTCCCGCAAACATGAGGAGAACATATAAACTGCACATAGGTAGCACCCCAGGAGCAGAATTGAACCCAGGGTCCCAGTGCTGTGAGGAAGCAATGTTAACCACTGCATCACCATGTCACCCCTCTTCAACAACCCTTGATCCAGTTCAGGATCACAGCGGCTACCGGAGCCTGTCCTGGAAAGCATTGGGTGCCAGGTGGGAGAAATCCTAGATGGAACGCCAGTCCATCACAGAGCACATACAGATGCAGACACACACTCACACCAGGGCCATGTCTTTGGACTGTGGAAGGTTGTATAGTCCTTTTTAAAATATCAGTAAATATTTCAATCTGTAATTCATTTTGTTTATGATTTGTAATTCATAGAAAAAAATGCCTTTTCAGTTAATTGGAGTGGAGCAATGAAGATCCCAGAAAAGAGCTAAATGGCAAAATAAATGCTCATTGCAATTGTCTTATTGCAGGATATTCCCAGTTGCAGAGAGTGGGGACAGCAGAAAACACTATAAACTGCATGGCTGCTGTACTTCCCTGTTAGTACTGTTTATACGAATATAAATCACTGTTCCAAAACAGTTGCATCACCTTTTAAACAAATCGTAAACCTACATTCTTAAATAGGGATAAAATGTGTTTTGTAAACAAAATAACATGTAGTCATCTTCCAGTAGGCCATGTAAATTCCTTTAATTTAATTGTATTACAGAAATAACGTTCTGCAAATATTTCTAAACAAAGTGTAGGGATTTCACATGGCAAACGTGATGTGTAAACAATGTAAGATCAAGACGTGAAAATAGCCGACAGCATCTTTTTCACATAACTTTCACAAAACAGCTTACAATATCTATGTGATAGTTTGTGAACATTAAGATTTTATAAAGTTTACAGTTTTCTGAAACTAAGTCAATCTTATTTGTCATGCTGTGATTTCTTAGTCTTTATAAAATCTAGGTTTTCATAGGTCTGTCCAGAGTTGGTTGGGTTCTGCTTCCATTCTGAGGTTCCCACTCAGAAGAAGAGAACTTGAGATCCTGATAACTGCAGAACTTTCCTGCATAAAGAACACTTACTATATATGAACTGAGGATAAAGAGATGTGCCCTGTTTGTTAAGGCTGAATTTACTTGAAACTGAATACCTATTTGTGAATTCTGGTTTTCATTTCTGGGTTGAGTGTGGGTACATGGTCTGGGCACATAGGATTCCAAATGCAAGCCAATCAAATACCTTTTAGAAGTTGCAAAGGTAAATTAAAAGTGGTGTGCAGCCAATGAAGGACACTGAGAAGAGATGACAGTGAGGCTACACACCAGTGCTATGTAGGAGAGTCAAACTATCCTATTGGATGGACAGTGAATGAGAAATCAAAGAGAAGCAAAGGCCATCGACCATCTGTCTGAAATTAACTAGCCACTGAAGAATTCCTGTTTTTCCTTTTGCAAAGGTGTCCATACCTTTTACTAGATTCGAACCCTTCATCGCCTCTCTTTTCCTGGAGACCGGATCTCCTTTTATTCTCAGGCTTCTTACCCTTTCTGTCACTCGCCCGAGATCTGGTTCTTTTTTTTGTTTTTTAAATCTATAGAATGTCTGCAAACATGGACAAAAGAAAACCACACTACGAACGCAAATTCCAGTCCTACCACTATCTCGGGAGTTTCCACAATCGAGAACTAGAGAGTAAATAACAAAAAACACCCTTGCATTAGTAAGCAACACATTTTAATTTTTCTCACACCATGAAAGTGCTTTTTTATCCATATCGGCTATGTATAACTGGCAAACACAAAAATACTCAAAATTGTTTCACACGTTTGTTCTTAAGACTGAAGTCACAGCCCAGATGTAATCAAATTATTTAATGTATTCTGGCAAGTTTATTTTTTTCATTTTTTATTTTCAAAATTGTATTTACAAAAATCACATTGCACGAGCACAGAAATCAGAAAATCAGCTTTGAAAACCCTGATGTTTTGTGCAAAACTGGGCTTTGTGCACTATTTCGATACTGTACTGCATTATAGTCATTATAATTTTATCGTTGGTTTTGTTTTTGGAAGCAGTCATTTTTCCTTATAAACATTATTTCCGGAACGGGTACATTTTTGTATGGACCTGTAAACATATTTGGTTTCAAATCCAAATACCTCTTTGGAAAACTGTCCTATCACAGCTTAACCAATTATAAGACAACTGTTTTGTAGACATTGAAAGTGATAAAATATAATTCCACTACAAAAAGCTATAAACCACAGAAGGCTTAATTATATAAATATGCTGGTTATTAACCCATTTACACTATTTTAAAAACACAGGTTCATCTTCTTTCAAAGTAATAATTTATTCATAGAATTGCATTTATTGTTATCATTGCAAACACATAAACCCAGAATAATGTTTCACATTTTTGGTCAAATAAAGGTCCATGTCATATAAACAGTTGCCCATGCACAATTTATTTTATTTAATTTTTTTATAAAAAAGGCAAATGAAAATAGAAACTCTTTGATGGCTAAGCAAAAATAAACATTAGGTTTGTATAAACTGCAGTACAAATACAATACAAAAATTATAAAATAGGATGAAGTAGCTTCAGCATGGCCAACATGCTGAAAAGTCCACCTTTGGCATTCATTACAAAACTGTATCTAAAAACGTCCCACATTATTTTTTTTCTGATAAATTATCTGAATTGAGAATGAGCTTCCCAATCACCCACACAATGCAAACAAAACCACTGAGGTATATTCTTCATTATCTCTGTCAAGCATTACACGCGATGAGAGTGATGCATGAAAGTGCACAGGAATTTAAAACTCATGCCAGTCCCATGTATGTAAACAGGGTGTCCATTTGGTGGTTTTAAATCGATTGAACGGATGTTCAACTTTGGCACGTTATCCCAACGTTAAGAAAAGGAACGTCCTTTTTGATTTAGTCACAGCAGCAATGATCCGTCTCTCCTGGCGACACATCTCCACCTGTCGCCCAGCCAGAATCCTCTGTGGAGGAGTCCGAAAATCATCACAATGTAAACATAATGAAAGGGAATGGGACGTCACACATCAAACACCATGTCGTATTGCTGCTCTTTTTTCCTCCTTCCGCACTTAGTAATGAGTACCACGTACAACGTCAAGAGCATGACCCAGTAGCAGGCATACAGTATTGCACCAATGATTAAAATAGTCTGTTCCGACTCCGAAAAGGGCTTTTTTGTTTCTTGGTATATCGTGAAAATAACACCACCCAAGAGGATAGAGAACCACACTGATATTGGAATTAGCCCTATGAAATTGACCACGACTGTTTTCCTACCTGATGTGCCCCAGCCCGCTTTATTGATGGTTGCTATTGCGAACATCTTAGCTGGGAGCAAACTGGACATGTACAAAACCGAGTAGAAGGACATGAAAACCATGACAATGTTGCCACGGAGACAGCTGGCAAAGGACGACTTGATGAGGCCCACCAGCTGAACAGTCAACAGGAACAAAAGGATGTTCCATATTCTCCCTCGATAGAACAGCTGGATTACTGTGGCAATAAGAAAGAAGGGGAAGAACCCAGTGATCACAGCTTCATAGGTCATCCACAGGTGGTGCTTATGAAACCACATTGCATTGTACAGCCATTCTCTGAAATAGGATTTACTCCACCGTGTCTGCTGGTTCAACCACCGTAGATATCTAATGGGGGTTTCTGTTAAGCACTTGGACCTGGCGGTGTACTTGGTGGCATATCCAAGGCTCAGTACACGGTTTGTGAGGTGTCTGTCATCTCCAAAGCTGCATTGACTGCCCAGGAACTCTTGGTTATACCAGTCCTCAAGGAACTCGTGGAGGAGGGAGTTCCTGTACATCCCCAGAGGTCCGCTGATACACTGCACGCAGCCAAAATACGACTGGCAGGCACGCTCGATGTTGAAGGCCATCCAGTACCTCACGCTGCTGAGGAACGATATCCAGGATTCGTACTTGTTCAGAATCTGAAACCAGAGAGAGAAAAGGCATAACCAGTGCAATTCCTCCCTGCTGAATCAAGTGCATGTTTCAGTTATGGACTGGGCACGGAATCTCAGTTCTACTTAAAGAGTTAGACAGTGAAAGCTGAGAAAAGAAGACAGTCTGTACCGTATGATACAATTGTACTGTATCATTCTCAGAATATGCAATCCAGACATTAAAATTAGTATCCTTTTTCACTGCAACTCCTTGCCTTTTCATGAAAGACCTATTCAAGGGTGGAGTTCATGGCAAAAAATTGTAACAGAAGTTTTGTGTTTACTCAAGGACATCCTTAAGTGAAGGGACCTACTAATTTAAAGTATTACAAGCATGCGTCATCTCAGGATTGTTTAATGTGTGAAGACAAGCGTGGAAACAAAAATGGGAAGGCAAATTTTTGCTGTGTGTTATGATCAGTGAAGACATGGATTTATAAAAGCCCCTGGAAATTATTACAGTAAGGAAGAGTCAACCAACAATTAATTGAAAAGTTAACGAATCAATGTTAATATCTAGGAGTAATAATAAGGGTGAACATACTGCACTACTTTAGCCATATTTCAGCCAGATTTATTAACATTTTCATTCAATAAACCTTCAATAGTTTGTGATGCTTTACTCTCTACTTTCCTTGACGTTATTGTGTTGTTCCACAATTGTTTTACTATTGTATTTGCATCTGTCTTACAAACGTCTAGAGGTAAAGAGATCTGTTCTGATATTTCTCAGTCTACAAGTTCTGTGATGTTCTTAACTAAATTTCAAATTCAGCCCTTCTATATCTGAATTATTTTGAACTATAATGGAGAGTATGAAATAACTTCAAATACTTTTTGAACACTTGGAATAAATACCTGCACATCGCCTCCAACTCCTCCCACCATTGGGTCTTCTTCTAACACTTTCACCATTTCAACGGAGCTTGCTGGGTCCAACATGGTGTCTGAATCGCAAACCTGAAAAAGCATAAAATACATCATATCTAAAATACATCCCAAAACATTCTTGCGCAATTTATCTTCTGCACTAAAGTCATGAATTGTGGACTACCAGAGACACCCCTCTAATCCCCTAAGTACTTAATGACACTACTTAATGTTTGATGAGAATCATCATGTAATGTGTTCTCATACTATAGCTCAGGCTGAATTGTGAAAATAAATCCTAATGGAAGATTAGGAAGGTAAATGAACATTGTTTTTACATTTTTACTGTTGTTTCCTCTACATTTTTACCATGAATTTGATCCTAGGGTTTTGGTGATGTATTACTATGCTAGTGCACTATGTTTGTGCGATGGTACAAAACACCATTTAATAGATCATATTAAATGTTGTTGTTCTATCACAGAGTCCTTACAAGTCATTTTCTATGGGTTGCCCTTGCTACTGATAATTTTGTAGAGATTTCCCCAGAGTGTTTACTGGAATAAAAGAACACCTAAATACATTCATTATGCTCAGTACAGTATCCTGTTGTGCAGATAACAGGTTAGGAAAGTCTTATACAGACTTTTGTCCTTTCTAATGTAAAGCAAGGCTTTATACATGAATTTTAATTGGAAGTTGTTTTATTAGACCTCTTGAATCAATGGGGCCTGTAGACAAATCTGTGTACTGTTACTATAACTTTCCTCAAGGAATTTTATATGTACTATAAGAGAGGAAAAGTTAGATGTCCTTTAGTGCTCTGAAAGAACATTTGTTATGCTGCACTCGAAAGGAAGCTGTTTTATACTCTGTTTTCTTAGAAATAGAAACATTGTGAGCATATAGTACAGTGCATTGAAGCATGATTGTGAGTGAGAAAAGCAAGGTCTTGAATATGTAAAGGAAGCAAGAGGTATATATTTCTATTTGTCTAACACCTATTGCCCTTCAATCACTATTGGAAAGTGTTTTGAAAGCAATATTTGTCTTTCCCAATCATTGCAATGTTTTTATTTCCTCTCATTTACAATTTTCACATAAATGTAAGAGTGAAAACAAACATAAAGTAAAACTTCAAATGAAATTTTCTTTTGAATATGGAATAAGAGTGTCTTTGCCAAGGCACCCTGTGGCATCTTTTCTAACTAAATACTAAATAAAAGAAAATATACATTGGAAAAAAAAGGGAATTTGCCTACACTTAACCAACACAACGCAAATAATTTTTGTTTGTAAGATAAACTTGTTGACTTTCCTAAAATGAGCTGTTTAGTTTTAACCTGCTTATTAATTATCAAAATGAACTCTCCAGTGTTTCCTGTACCCATGGGGAAGAATGACATGTACTGTATATGATCCACTGGTGAGTTGGAAATGCATCCCTACATTCCCTGATATAAAGAAATAACTTTGTGGAACTGTTTGACATGATGTTTGCCCACTGTTGGATTTTCACAGACTTTTTGAATACACAGATACAGAGCACTTCATCCAAAAGGATCTTAACATAGTTTACACACAGAATGAATGAAGTGCAGAACCCACTTGGGTGACATGAGTGACATGAGGCATCCGTTATGTGCCACCCATTCCACTGCACAGCACATCAGGTAGGAAAGTGAGAAAGTGCCTCACTGATTGAAGTAAGTGGGAACTTCAAAAATGGCCATATTGTGCAAAGCCAGGATACAATCATGCATTTCTTTCAGGACACTGGGGTTAACACTCTTACTTTTGGGATCTTCAATGACCATGTAGTCAAACTTTAATTTAGCATCTACTCTCATAGTTTCAATATCTCTAGTCACCACAGTGAGGCACTGGTTTGGAAATACTGGTCTAGATGAAAGAGTACCTCCTGGTCCAACAACAGCACATACAGTAGAAACCTATTTTTTGGAGGTCTCCCGTTCCCAAGACCCAGCCTCGCTTGGCTTCTGAAATCTGATGATATCAGACTAGAAGCTGGTAATGCTGCTGCGACATTTTGATGGTGAGTTGATTTTGAAATGCATGCAAGTTAACAAAAGGGCAGAAGCAATGCAATATCTCTTTTAAGCTAAAAGCTGGTGATAGAACTTTGCTTGAGCACCACCATGTCTGACAAGGTCATGGGCCAGATCTGCTAGAAAATCTGCTTTTCTTTTTTGCTTTCTTTTTTAATTAACAATGCGTACTATGTTTACTGTTTAACACCACTTTGAGTTTCTTGAAAAGCACTCACACAACTCTTAGAGTAAGACTATGTTTGGGTGCCTTTTGAGGTTGTAGCCCCATAGTCATTCTTATGACCTGTAGATGGCACATTTTGAAAAAAATGTCCCATAATGTTGACATCTGCCTGATCTCTTGGCTCCTGCTTTTCAGTGATGGAGAGAAAAGGCTTTAAGAACCTTGGGGTGAAAAGCACTGTAAATATAATGAGCTTTTGTTATTGGTAATAATAATAATAGTGTACAGTTTTCCAATTTGTGAATTAAAGCAGTTTATAAACTACAAGTAATAAGGATCTTATTTAACAACACAATGTGATGAACCTGGTCAAGTCTTATCAAAACTCGAGCCTATAAAATTGGTAAGGACTGTAATTCTTGTGTTTGCTTTATTTAATATTTTAATTAGATTTATTACACTTATGTCTGCTTGTTTGGATAGCTGTTTTTATTATTTTCACTGAATAATTATTGTTTTCCCTGTATTACACTAATGAAAGGCTATAATACAATTATTTCTATAGAAACAAAGTTCTTTGTTAAGTCGAAGTAGAAGGTCCTATGCTTAAGAAGATAAGATAGGATTTCCAGTCAATCTGGCATCTCTTTCTCTAATATTCATTTTCATATCCCTGTTTTTGACCCATCTTAATATGCTATTCATCGGGTACTCCTACAGATACTTCTACGGATATCTAATCATCAAAGAAATTTGAGCTGATTTTCTTCCATGTACTTAATGTTCTTCAGCCATCAGTAAGGAAAATACACAGAAAGTCTGAAAATACTAGAACTCAATGATCAAATCAGTGGCTAAGGAGCTGCCCCTATGAGAGATTTGCAGATTTGCAGTAATGTGGAGGCAAATGAGTGTTAATAATGTTAATCTACTGCTTGGAGAAGCATAGTTTGCCATGTTTAAAGAAAACAGGTTTCTCAAAGATACTGTATGTGCCCAGCCTTTGTTGGCCATGCTGAAGCTACTTCATCCTATTTTAGAATTTTTGAGGTAAATGAACATAACCGTGACGATTCCTTTGACTCAATCTGTCCATTCAATAACCATGCCATCAGCGGAAACCACAGATAAGTACATTTACTTTTTTGTGAGAGGTTAGTCTGTATAAACCAGCCACATGGCTGTGAACATCCCAGTCTGTGGTCTGCAGGAGAACTGTGATAGAAAAGAAAATCCTCAAGCTTCTGACAGTTCCATTCAGGGACGGTACAAATATTTGAATTGTGTGTCTGAGTGCAGTAGTCTCTACACATGGAGGGCGAATGAAACTCACAGACGTACCAAATGGGCAAAATAAATAAAGGTCCAGCACGGGCAATAAAGGGGCTGTTTTCTAAATGAATAAAACATCTGTCATTTGACAGTGTTGTGCTTATGGATGGGTGGCCAGCACACACCATATTTAATCCCTGTGAAAAGATAATAGTGTAATTGCCTATTCTTTTTAGACAAAAAGAACAGGCAGAACATATTTGGAAACATTAAATCACTGATTAAGTTCTGCAAGGAAATCGAAGTTAATTATAAAACTACCTCAACCACAAAAGAGCAAATTTACAAGGTTACAATATACTGGTTAACCTTTCATTGTACTCTGTGTTTTTCTGATGCAACTTTTGATACCCATTAAAAATGGTAAAAAATAAAGATAATTTACTACACAACTTTGAGTATGAGAGGAAAATGGTAGTTATGCTGAGGACTAATAAGAATATTTCAAATTTTTTGAAAATATCAAGGGCATTTTTGTTTATAATGTTTGAATAAATAACTCAACTGTGGAAATGTGGAAATAGTTGTTATAGAGCTATGAATTATCATGTAATAACCAATATCCTCAGATACTCTGGATAAGTCTAAACTCAGTTCAGTGTCCATGTGGTTCAATACAGTACATCTGACCTTGCTTTCAAAGATTATTCTGCATGGGGGGCATAGTATTTTTTTTTCCAGGAGAGGCACCAAGATACTTTTCTTTGGAAAACATACATATGATTTTGTACCAGATTGTCTAACATACTATTACATCATAGACAAGGCTGGATAATATATCACATGGATTCAACTTGTTTCGTGTAGTGTTAGTTTGAAACTAAAGAGTTTGGGAATAGAAACTGGGAATAGTTTTAAGTTGTATCTCAGTAAAGAGAACTGCTGTTAACCTTAAAAACCACCGAACTACATACGCAAAGCAACCTGTCATTTAAACAAGTACAAAAGCTGCTTTATTCAGAACATATTTGATTTGGCATAACCTCTTGCTGCCGAGACTTACCTGCACATAATCCACACTCTTCCCAAGGGCTTTAAAGGCTGTGTACATTACTTCTCGCTTTCCTCCCCATTTCTGCATTATGCAGATGCATTTGTTGGACAAGACCAAGTGGGTCACATGCTTCATGCTTTCCAAGTGGGACTCGTCAGTTTCGTCAGGCCCTTTGTGGTGAAAGTTACTTTTCCAGATGTAAGAAGCAGCCTTGTCCCTTCCCATGACGTCTTTAAAGATGTCCATCATGTAGTTATCGTCCTCGTTGTTTCCATCAATTACCATGATTACTTTTATCCCGGGGTAGGTAAGTCTTTTGACGGACATCAGACACTTTCTTAGGTAGTTTGGGTCTTCCTGGTAAGCAGCGATGCAGAGGGCAAGTGTTTTGTTCAATTTGATGGGAGTCTCCAGGGATCTCCTCATTTTCCGGTGCTCCAGGTAGGCAAAAAGGCTTTGGATGATGAGATGCAGGGCCAAAATGGCACCATAAAGTCCAAATGAGAAATAGTGATTGTCAGTCGCAATGAATTGGTACCCCTTAATATAGGCAGCGGTGATTCCCAGGAGCAAGGATACTCCAAACATTGTCGTCCCAAATACCCTCAAGTAGGTTATGACTCTGTCACACCTCATCTGAAAATAAAAACAGTAGGTAAGGTGTACAGAAAATACAATCTGAAAAGGTTACGGATTGTGAATTTTGCATTGACAAGCAAGTAGAATGAATTCTATGAATTGCCTTCATTACTCTGCTCTCCTCCTCACTGAGAGCTGATGTGTGGTGAGCATTCAGGCGCACTATGGCTGCCTTCGCATCATCCAGGTGAGGCTGCACACTGATGGTGGTGGAGGGGAGTCCCCATTACCTGTAAAGCGCTTTGAGTGGAGTATCCAGAAAAGCGCTATATAAATGTAAGCAATTATTATTATTATTATTATTATTATTATTATTATAGAAACCCCAGACCTTTTTTTTTTACTTTTACTTGACTGATATCTATTCACCTTTTATCTGAAATGCTGACTGAATGTTCATGGAAAAACAAGAAAAGCAGCATTTAACTGACATTTTCTTGACTTCAGTTGTATCAACATCATAATTATGGTTCTTATACAAATATATCAGTTGTGTGTTGATTTGAGAATTTACCTAGATGATATGGTTTTAAAAAATGCCATTGCAACAGACATTTAAACAAAACTGAATATAGGGGTCAACAGGACCCCTATGTGCACCGTCAAACCATGTTCAGTGTAAGGATGTTGATTTTTCACACTCCGACAAGTGGGGTGAAATGTTTTCCTTTGTTGTTTTGACGACCCCCCAGCCAGTGCCTGATGTTCCCCGGTGGTTCATAGATCACTTCTTGAGGATCGGTAACTGCTATTGTTATCATCTGAATGTTTTCCATTTATGTAGTTAATGGTATTAGACATACATTGTGTGCCTAGTGCCTGTTTTCATCACTTTCACAGTAGGTCTCTTTAACATGCATTAGTTTCCAAAAACTGTTAGCAGGAAGTTGTTTTGCTTCATGATTAAACTTTCATCTGCTTACTTTGCTGTACTGTAGGTTTCCATTGTGCTTTTCTTGTTGAATTGTATTTCAGTGTCTTCAATCTGGTTTAATTCATGGGTGTATACATTATGTGTTCAAATATGTTAGCAGGGTCTAATTGCTGTATTCATAAATATAAAGTAAGTCTGTCTCACTTGCTCACATGTTGTATCAAAGCCATGTCAATTTGTGCCAAGATTCAGTACTGTAGCATTTTCCCATCTGCTTGGCAGTTTGAAGCAGTTAGAAGCAATGCGCACCACCCCTTTACATCATGTGTTTATATCGCTGTGAAACGACATCAGCAAGGAAATTCGGTAAGGCGTTATTTGAATGTTGCTTTATAATAGATAATCCTTCAGAACTACTTCACAGGACGTTATGATCACATTCACAATCTTTTATAAGAACACGCGTAAAGGAAATAACGTGTCTATAAAGGTGGGGACATTCGTTTTAGCACATTCCTTAGCCTGAATCGAACTGAGGGTTAGAAATGAAATTGAATGCCATGACCTCTTGTGCACACGTTATGTCCTTAGCGCATTCACACAAGTATTAGACTCGTGGTTGTGTAGCAGTTATAAAGGGATTATAAAGCCATTATACAACAACATTGAAATAAAGCTTCAATTCTGGAAAATTTCTCTTTGACACAATGTAGAAGTACTACTCACAGCTAAAGTGGATTCCACGTTTTAAAAAGCACTTTCCAGTTCCATGTTTACCGAAACGCTGACATTTCTTCTTCACACCGCGACATATCAATGAGCACAGAAATGCATGGTGTCGTGCATGCTCGTTTTATTACAGTGAAAATATGTGTGCTAACACTTTGAGAATAAGACTGTATAATGACAGTCCTTAAGGTCTTTTGTCAGTAAAATTCTGAAAATTAGTATTTGCATTCACGAAACGTTCCCTGAAGGCAGTCATCAGTTAAAACAATGTAGTAATACTCAATTTCTTATTGTTATTTCATTGTTAGGTTAATTTAACGCTGAAGTTCCAGCGTGCATTCCTTTTTTAGGTCAACGAACATTGTCTTTTTACGAGAAGTAAAAAACATCTAGAACGTTATTTCATCGCACTGCAGTTTTTTCATCGTTTAAAACAAATTAATAAAAACTAAAAAGTAAAATCTGTATATAGCTGTACACTTATACAACGTATAAAGAGGGTTGGTAAATATGAACGTTGAACAAAAATTGTGTAAATTTTGTAGAATATCCTAATTTAATTAAAATATTTTAAATAGTTAAAGTTCAATAGATGAAATTGGCATTGGAAATAGAAGAATCGACATCCAAACATGTTACTGGCTTGTTTTCACGAACCTCGTATCCCATAGATAAGGGAATTTGACTTAAAATTTAAATATAACTTATGAGAGAAGGTGTCAGCCCCCGTTTTCGCTTTAACTCTCTTCCCATTTAAAACACATCGTTAACATAGCAAATGATCAAAACACGTCTTCAACCATAACGATGTGTTAACCGTGGTCAGGCTTTTCATTGATGTGCCATCTATATGTAGTATCTGAACCAACAGATACGTGCGACAGCTCTTGATTGAATGGCCCGATCGCGATTAGATTGTCTGACAGCCAAACTGTACATTTTCAGAGCTTTCTTTATTTGTTGATTGCCTACGTGTGGTTCCTTATTCAGCATACGCTACCGTGGGGGTAAACGTTTTAGGTTCTCTACATTCCAATACGGAAATTCAGTCCCTGGGGCTGAACAAGCGCTCTGCCAATTAGCGCAGTTATCAGCTTGGCGGAAACAGACGGTGACAGCTTTCCACACGACGATCTAAGCGTCTCATTGTCAGAAGACGCTTTTCTCGCTCGCCTCATTCATCAGGAGTACTGACACGACGTGCAGATTGGAATTAAATAAGAAAGGCGGGGAATGTAACGTTGCAATTAGCACGATTCAACAGTAACTGCGTTGCGCTGCGTTTAAGGGGGAGAAGTAGCTTCAGATAACACCCCTCCCCCTTAGCGGCTGACACCCTCAGGCTGCTGCTGGTAGGTCTGCCCCGGTAGCCGGCATTTGCCGCACACAGACAAAAAAAAAAACAACCCTAAAATTCGAGCCCACCAACAACTGAATAAGATCCAGCACGTTCAATTGAAAAATTAGAAAACGTTCCGAGTGAAAGACATTTTATTTTCAACTAAGCCATTGAACTAAAGGTTGGTAATTTGGTAACATTCTTTAAAAATGTGAAAATGCAAAGCAGTATGAACCAATGTGCTCTGAGTCGTATTTTTTCTTCAAAAGCTCGCGTTATCGTCAATGATAACGTTCATGACACAGACTGGGAGACCTCAAGCTCAGAGCAGCGTCTACTGTATGATAGCTACAAGTTTAAGGGAAAAGTATCAGTGCCAAACCTTCCCCACCAAGAACCACAGCCCAGTTCAATTTGCCTTTTAAAGTACTACCTTGGCTATTCAAACTTTATAGTGCATCCGATGGCTGATTAGAGTACAAAAAGCTACAGTTTGGTTTCCAAGATCATCATTTCAAGAACTCATTTAAACAGAAAAGGGAAACCAATTGCCTCTTAAATTTCTATACTTTGTGCTGTAAAAAATCTGTTTATCTGAAAACAAAGGGCTGTTTTTTGAAAGTAGTGAGGTGTACATAACATAAACTGTGTAATATGAGGGGAGAAACAGACGCCACAATACATTCTGATGTTCATTGAATCAGTCATTCATTAGACTGTGACTTTGAAGACATAAGAGAAACAGGGACAAGAGTAAATTTTGAGGTTCTATTTCAATTACACAAGCAGGACCTTAATATGACCAGTTGGTCTGTTTCATCAATAATCTTTCAAGACAACGGTACTGTAATTCCAGCGCAATGTTGATAAATTCCATAAAAATAGTATTTCAGTAGGTACACCAACAGCCAGGAATGGAATGGTGTGTGAATGTTGGGAATGCTTGGTGAGATCGGTTTGGCTTCGTCCGCTTGGTTAATGGGACACAGGAGGAGGAGGCTTGAAGCTCGAACCCCATTCAGACAGAGTGGACCAAGGGGCAGCTGCCATGTGGAGATGGGGCTCATGAGGGATGTGCTTGAGACAAAATGCAAAGGGAGGAATCTGGGTTTATGATATGTAGCTAGTATTATACTGGTGGTGACGAAGTACAGCTGTGTGAGATTGACTTGTCTTTTTTATCCCTCCCGAACTTCGGTTAATAACTTCCATTTATTGAGGTCAACGATGTGTGTGAGAGAGATGACAGTGATCTTTGTGGTTATTGAGTGGGTTGGTCTTCCTCCCAGAGACAAATACGACACATATGCCAGCTTGGGCTCCTTCTGCTGTATCTAACCATATTTCATACTTGGCAGTAAAACTCACAGGGCCCTGGGGAGAACATGCAAACTCCACACAGGTGGCACGTGAGTTCAGAATTGAACCAAGAGCTTTGAGGCCTAAAGGCTGTAGATTCTCCAATGACAATCATTAGCAATCACTAATGCGCGCATCGCACAAAATCTATGTCTGATGCAGGAATCAACAGAGTAACAGAAGAAAAAAACGCTTAGTCTTATCACAATAATGGTTACGGAAAAGGTGCTGAATTATAAATACAATTAAATTGACTTTGCTTGGATAGCGCTTGTAAGTGGTAAAAATGAACAAACTCATTGAAATTTACACGGAGTACGGTCTAAGAAAACCGCCGCCATGCGCTTATAGGCTTTCAAACTGGGTTGAACTTTTTTCTCCCTCGTCATTGGCTGCCTGGAGTATAATTTCCCTGTATGACATAACCTGGAATTTAAGAGGCGGCGTGACGTCAGGTCTTGGTCTCATAATTCTAATTTAAATCCATCGCAGCCACCATTAGCATTAAATGATTTGGATTTTTAATGTTATTCAATAAAGCGCGCATCGCACAAAATCTATGTAGCTGGCTCAATTTCTCTGCGTATCAACCGCTGGTTAGGTTTACCTTTTGCATTCCTGGTTAAAGGAAAGGTGAGGATTCGGGTTGGGGCTGAATACTTCAGATTCAAATAGCTTTATTGGTGTATATAATTGCAGCATTACCAAAGCGATAGCAATGCTAAAAAAGAGAAGCTTCAACGCTCTCGGATTTACTGCTGCCGCGCTGACAATTTTCCTGTGCGCCGCTGGAGAGGTTCTAGCGCTGACAAGGACTCCACGTGTGATAACAATGCCCCACCTCCGTCTCTTCCTTCAGCAATACCTTAACATGATGCCGTACGGAACAATGTTCTGCTGGGGGCATTTCCAGATAGAGGTCACTGTGATGAGGCTCATTCTGCGTGTTCTGGGGTTGTACTGCATTCAGCGACGCCGGGCACGTTTTTTCTTCTAGCATCAACCATCAAAGGACTAGTCCATGTGGCTGAGTGCACACTTGACCATTTGTCTTAACGCTCCTGTCTGAATGAGACCCCCCGAAACTACCGCTCAGTTGTTTTTTTTTTGTGTACGTGACATTCTAAGTGCTCGATTTTTTCTCGAGGAAAAAACATGAAAAAATCTATAAAAGCTCTAATAGTAATAGTAATGCCTTCGACAGGGTTACAATAGAACGTCTGTCCTCATTTACCAATCAGGTACCTATTTGTGTCGTAAAAGAATCTATTCATGGTTGCTTATCCGTTACTAATGAGGGAGAAAATCTAACAAACGCGAGAAAAATACCCTTTTATGATAAAAATACATAACATGATATGCGGTAGTTCAGAAAAGATATACTTTCATACCTTGAAGCAGCTTTATGACGGAGTCTTGTTCTCCTGTGTGATGGAACTTCTGCAGTCTGATGAGGATCCCTTTTCAGCACTGGAGTGAAATTGGATGAAACTTCACAAAAGCATGTCTAAGATTTTAGTAAAAACCCAAAATAAGACAATTCCAAGGCAGTGCAATATCCACGTTTTCTTTCAAAGCTCAGGAAATTGTTTTCAAGTTTTCTTTTTTTTCCTTCTTGTACTTACATCATATAGTCTACATTTATACTGCACTTATGTATATATTATATTATCTTGTCAGTTCTTTGGTAATGTAATTTGTTATTTTTAAGAATAAAAAAAACGTTATTCCTTATTATAAATAGTAGTCAGTGTTACTGACAAGAACTCATCTAAATTCAAGTTTTTTCAAGCATACAGATTAAAGTCTTGAACTGTCGAATCATTCTACTTGTACCACTTTTTCTGCATCTGTAATTTCTTCCAGACGTCGTAAGTTTATGCTTCCTACAGCTCTTGCCTTCCAAAGAGTCTTTCAACCAGGGAGAGTTTTTGGAGGTTGTTTTAATAAGGGGGGAGGTAGGGGGATAAGGAGGAGCGAAGTCTTTTAAAAAAGCTGCCCATTCAAACTTTTTTTCCCTAAAGTTGTACGTGTCTGCCAATTAAGCCGAAGAAGCTGAAAAAAAAAATGGATGCAACGTTATAGGATTCCTTGTGGAATATTTAGTTTAAAAGCTTTATGGTTAGTTTCCAAGCTTTCTGAAATATATATGGATAAAGATCTATCTTCAAATTATATTTTTAAGAATGAAAAAAATATATGTGTATAGTACATTAATCTGTGTTTTATATTGTCTTAATAAATATCCATTATCCAAAAATGTTACTTTGCACTCCATTAGTAATCAATATGTATTATATATTCTTAACATTAAATTATTCTGAAATACCTAATAATAAATACCTATAATGTCTTGTTAATATCCTAAAGTATTAAGACGAACAGCGTTTTTTTTTTTCATTTCATTGATTGCGGCTATAACTTCATTTTATAGCTCGTTTTAAAACAGCATAGCTTTTCGCCAGCAGGGAGCGCCACATAGTTCTCTAAAAGACGTAGTCTCGATTACAGCAGTCGGAAGGTCGCCTCTTCTTCATACAGTATTTGTCATCGACTTCTCTTTGCTTTAAACAAGCTTATTTACTTGTGTATGTAACCGTCAAATCACAGTTTCAGGCCCGCCTCAAGTCTTTTGGACGTTTTAAGATTATTAGATTAAAATAATTGTTCCTATGCTTTTTTAATGGGACAACACTGGAAATGCAACAGTTGATTAAGATAATAATGTAAATTAATTAGAAGCAATCGACCTTAAAAGGCCATTTACAATTAAGAATTCATAACGTCTCCCACACATAGTTTATAATAAATATGTACTTAAACTACTGAATGATGCAGCAGACCCTCTAGCGCTTAAGCATCTGTGTTTTCTCATCCACAGAATCTCCATTTACTAATTTATAACACTGCTCCAGCAGCGTGTACACTGTTCAGTTCCTGAGCTAGTCACAGGAAAATCTATATCATCCTTTCAAAGAAAACTTTCCATCTGACTTGTCAATCACTAACCCCAAAATTGTTATAGGTTTTACAGATGTAACTGTAGATACATACATCAGCTTGTGTCAGTTTCAGGTCCTAGCCTGGCAGATGATATCACACTAATATAGCATGTAATAAAATCAGATGAAATCAAAAATATCTCACATGTTCAACTAGAAAAGCCAGAATAACTGCATAGTGAGTAGCTCCAACACTTCACTGCTGCAGAAGCTGTCTTTTTATAAATCAATATAATAATGTTAATTTACATGTATTAGGTAAATTTATGGAGCAGCTCCAAATATTTTAGTGGAGACCAATTCAGAATTAGAGCACCTGAATTCTGTACGGTGGTTGTCAGAATGGATGTGGCAGCTGAGGTAGAGGATCTTCCTGATGTCATTCAGTATCCTGACTGAAATGCCCACACTTTCCACATCTTTAATTATTAATACGTCAGTGAGGTAAAGCCTTATTTATTTAGGATTTAGGATTCTTAAAACATGCTCATGCATCATTAATTTTCAAGGTAAACAGGTGATTTAAAAGAACTTTTCTTGGTACAGAACAACATTAAAATGTTACCATCAGTAGAAACCATTTAACCCCTCTTGAATTACATAGTTGCTTTAAGTATTGCTCTATCTACACCATCAAACTGTTTCTTGATGGAGCCCAGTTAAGCATGGTCATTTACCTTGGTCAAAAATTTCAAACTTAATAAAGAAGCATCTTCTTTTTCTAACCTAAGTAATCTGGTTGTTGGCACTCTTGCTGAACGTCTTCAATTTATTTGGCAACCTTTTGAATATTAGTGATTTTCTTATTGAAACCTTTATTTCACTGGTATGTCAATTGAAATTAAGCTCTCATTCACAATCACAGTCTGGCCAAGAGGCTCTATGCCATTGTTGGGCAGAAAACAAAGCAGTCAAAGAGCACTCAATAACATGTAAATTACATAACACACTAGCGTCAACAAGTGGAAGTGTCAGACTGAAAAGATTTAATCATACAACTGAAGATGCTTTCTGATACAAAGGTGGATATTTTCAGTTTACTCTGCAGATAATTCCAGTTAGTTGAAATTGATCTCCAGTGGATTGTAATTATATTTAAAATGCTAGCTCCTTTTGAAAAATTCAACTGTATCCAATGCTACGACTAAGAATTTAAGACAACACAGAGAAATGGACAAAGTAGAGATATGAAGTTATTTCTCCAAATAACTTAATTCAAACCAACAAAAATATTTGAAACATTTGTCCAATTGACCAAAGAATGCAGTAAATGATGATTGCAATATGGAGAACCAGTGAAAAATCTTATGATAGAGTTTGTGTTGTAAATAGCAACATCATATTTCAAGGTAAAAGGTACAGACATTTGAACTATTACAAGTTCAACTATTACATTACCTAAAGGAACATGTAAAAAAAAAAGTTTGCTGTAGGAAAAGAAAAGAAGTCTAGACATGATTTTAGCTTGCAATTTATTGAAATGAGTTTTCAAAATGAAATTTCTAGCAAACCAGATGTTTAAATTTTTATAAAGGATATTTTAGCAATTAAAACCAGAACTTTGCTCCGACTTAAAGTAAAACATTTATGATAGTTTCTAAAAGAGATGTGAAGTTCTTTTTGTAGAATAACAACAACTCAGTTAAAGGGTTGCAGAAATTGCATCAAACATTGATAGACAATGCCTAATGTGGGTGAAGAATAAAAAGGTCTTAATTTGTTTAGGAAAACTTGATGAATTCCATTGCAACTAAGCTGTGAATTGGCCATTACTGATGATAAAGTAGGTCTAATTGAGTATAAGGTGGTGGAGGGAGCAAAGAGGTGAATATGACTGTTGACTATTGCGTGAACAATATTGTTAATGGAAATGGAGAAACAAGTAGTGCCCAGGAGATGTCCTTGTGGGATTCCATTAAAAATCGATAAGGCTATAGGACAAATTTGTCCAATTTTACACAGTGTGTATGGTTTTGTAAGTAATTCTGAAGGTATGTCTTGGAGCTTAATCAAGACCAATACTACACAATTTATCAAGTGTTCTACAGTAGCAGAAGCATTAGGAAAAAGTAGAAAGATAAATGCACAAGTGTGCTTTTTGTTAAGAGCTATGATAATAATGCTGAGAATGTTTAAGACTCCTGTTATACTTTCATGCTTAAAATGAAAAGCAGACTTCACATCAGATAAAGCATAATTGGTATCCAAAAAAGAGCTTAAATGTTTGTTGACAGTTGATGTTAGAAAGTAAAGGCAAGAAGGAAAGAGGTCTATAGCAGTTAGGGTCTGATTAATCACCCTTTTTGAAAAGTGTGGACTTCCATTCAGATGGGATTTCAACTGTTTTAAGAGAGATTGAATAGGTAGATTGGGATAGTGGATATAAAATGAGCAGAATGTTTTTAGAAATATGGATCAACAGAGTTATGTACATTTTTCAGCTTGGAGATATTGCTGACATTAGGCAATTTCTATCAATGTGCAATGCCATTTGTGCAAGTCTTTGCTCTAGGGGATCCCTATCACTTTTTTTAGTATGTGTCTCGGAACTCCTTCATGTTTACACTTCCTCCTGTAGGCTCTGTTCAATTGAGGCTGATCCCTTGCTCATTGTACCTGGGACTCAATCTTGAACTTTTGGTGACCATTCTTTTTCTCTCACTGTTCCATTGTTATGGAATGCCCTTCCTACGACTCTTTTGAGTGACAAATTCTTTCACTCTTTTCACATCTAAATTGAATACTCACCTCTTTACTAGGGCCTGTGTCTGATTGCCTTACAGTTTTATCCTGTATGTTCTTGTTTCATTTTAGGCTTATGGTTTTTGATGTATTTTTCCATCTTTTTCTTCTTTATCACTTTGTACAGCATACATGTTACACTATGTACAGAACTTCAAATTTTACACTATGTCAAAATTTAAAGAATTGATAGTTGTAACAGCTCACTTTGGAGATTCTAATGACTTGTGTGCATTTACTCTTAAGTTGCCTGAAGGAAAGCAAAACAGTGGGTAGAGGCACTAGCTGTTCAATAAGCTAAATACTTTTACTTAATTTAAGTTGACAGTTCAGGACTTAAGCAAGGACTATTGCCATTCTTAACTATAAGCCTCCTAATTGGTGCATGCTTTTGACAATATTGATAAAACAATTTTCAGGAAAGACCCAAGCATGTTTGACTGATGGGATGAGAGAGATTCTGCTCAGGTTTATTAATGCCAGATCATGGAGCAAAAGCTGTTCTTCAGACTTCTTTTAGACATAATCTTCTAACACATCACTAAAATTCTTACTGGTACTGGCCTGGAGTGTTTGTGAATATGATGTCAAGAAAGGTTACTTTATACTTAATTGTATTAGGCTGGATTATGGTCTGAAAAAGGCTTAAAGAATTAAATAGGCTTTTAGCAGTGTCAGTAAGATTTAACATATCCCTTTTTAAATATCCCAATGAACAAGCAATGAGCAACTAATTAAAGTTATTTTGGGTGCAGAGGCAGAGGGTGGTGTGTACCATCCTGAAACTTTCAGATACTTATTTTTCTTTATGAGTGAAAGAGTTCGTAGGCGGTAACACGGTAGTTAGCACTGCTGCCTTGCAGTGCTGGGGCACTGAGTTCAATTCCTGGGATGCTATCTGTGTGGAGTTTATATGTTCTCCCCAGGTGTCCTCCTCCATGTGTAGGTCTCCTCCCACAGTCCAAACACATGGGTAGGTAAATAGGCTTCTGGGATATTTGGTCCTGGTGTGAGTGTGTGTGTGTGTTTGTGTCTGTGTGTGCCCTGTGATGGGCTGAATTCCTGTCCAGGGTGTATCCTGACTTGTGCCCCTTGTTCGCCAGGATAGGCTTCAACTACCCATGATTTTGTTTTGGATAAAGCT